AGGGAGGAGAAGAAGAGGAGAAGGAGGAGGAGGAGGAGGAGGAGGAGGAGGAGGAGGTAGAAGATGACGAAGAAGAGGAGGAGTGGAGGAAGAAGAAAACGAAGAGGAGGGAGAAGAAGTAGAGGAGGAGGAGGAGGAGGAGGAGGAAGAAGCAGCGCATAGGGAAGATGGATGTTCGGGAGAAAAAAAAAAACCGGCTAGTTCGTCGGCTATGGCTAACGGACGAGGAGGAGAAGAACAGGAGGGAGGAGGAGGAGGAGGAAGAAGACGATGGCGAAGAAGAGGGAAGAAGAGGAGGAGGAGGAAGAGGGAGAAGATGATGACGAAAAAGAGGGAGGAGAAGGGTAGGAGGAAGAGGGGGAGAAAGAAGACGACGAAGAGGAGGGAGGAGAAGAGGACGAGGAGGAGGAGGAGGAAAAAGAAGCAATGCGCAAGAAACATGGATTTTCGGGGGGAGAAAAAAAAAAACGGCTACGGCAAACGAACGAGGAGGAGGAGAAGAGGAGGAGGAGAAGAGGAGGAGAAGAGGAGGAGGAGGAGGTAGAAGATGACGAAGAAGAGGAGGAGTGAAGGAAGAAGAAAACTAAGAGGAGGGAGGAGAAAAAGAGGAGAAGGAGGAGGAGGAGGAGGAGGAGGAGGAAGCAAAGCACAAGGACGGCGACGTGAAAGACTAAGCGATGGAGGTGGTCGACGAAGAGGAGGAGGAAGAGGAAGACGAAGTAGAGGAGGAGGTTGGGGCGACGGAAAACCAGGACGAAGAAGAGAAAGAAGAGGAGGAGGAGGAAGCCGGGGAGGAGGTGGCAGAGGAGGACGATGAAGAAGAAAACGATGAGGAGGGGGAGGGGAGCGACGGCGGGAGGATACTTTGTAACGATTTTTGTTTTTATTGAAGAGGAGGAGGAGGAGGAGGAGGAGGAGGAGGAGGAGGAGGCAGATGAGGCAGAGGAGGAAGAGGAGGAAGTGGATGAAGAGGACGAGGAGGAGTTGAAGGAGGGAACACGACGAGGAGGAGTAGGAGGAGGAAGGAGAAAACGAAGAGGAGTGGAGGAGGAGAGGAGGAGGAGGAGGAGGAGGAGGAGGAGGAGTGGAGGAAGAAGAAAACGACAGGGAGGAGTAGGACTAAGAAGAGGAACGAGGAGTAGAAGAAGGAAGAAGAAGAAGAAGAGGAGGAAGAAGAAGAAGAAGAGGGGAAGGAGGAGGAGGAGGAGAAGGAGGAGTGGGAGGAGGAGGACGAGGATAACGACGAGAGGGAGGAGGAAGAGGAGGACGACGACAAGGAGGAGAAGAACGGGGAAGAGGAAGAGGAAGAGGACGAGGAGGAAGAGGAAAAGGAGGAGTAAGAGGAGAAGGAGGTGGAGGGTGGTTAAGGGGGACGACTTGTCTTACCTGGCGGGGGAGAACGAGGCTGAGCGATGGCAGGCGAAGGCGGCGGCGATGCTCAAAGCTCGGGGACGCTACGACCAGCAGGCAGCGCGGCCGTAGGGCGACGGGCCGTTGGTGGGGAGGGACGGGTAGGCCTCAGGAAAGCACCAAGCATAGTCCGAGACGGGGGCTGCGCGAATTCGAATTAAAAAAAAGCCCGATCTGGGTTGTGGATCGTCTTCGATCAACGGCCCAGATCGGGCCTTTTTTTTTTCGAAACCGGTGGGTCCCTGCGAAATCCGACAGTGGGAGGGTGTTCGGGCTGCCGCCCAGTACCCCGCCAGGCCGCAAGAAAAAATTCCGAGCCCTGCGTATATTTTGCGCAGGCCCCGGAAATACCATTTTTGGTATTATCCGGTGCTCTTCTTCCGACCGGATAAACAAGATATTTAGAGGGCATCCGGATATCTGGATT